AAATAAAAAGTTTGGTTATTAGGTCATAAACATACTCTATTTCACGAAATGACAAAACGAACATTTGAGTTTGACATCTAATTGTTCGGAATTCTTACCTCAAATTGACGAAGTAAAAAATGTTACCTTTTCATTTTCGTTAGCAATTTTTTATTTTCGAAATGGGGTCTATATTACTATTAATCGAGTCAGCTCTCAGTAAAGAACGATTAGACCGTAGAAGAAATCGGCGGCGGCTTCGAAATTGCCTTAATATAAGAAATATTCTCGACACTGAGTTTGTAAGTAATTACAGACTCAGTTTTGAATTATTTCAAGAACTATGCCAGGAGATTATACCTTTACTGCGTCCACAGGCAAGATCTCATGCCATCGAGTCCACAATTAAAGTTGGAAGACATTTTATCGTAGTTCTTGATATAAAAAATTGCATGCCTACTTTACCATTATGCAATTCATATATTTATGATTCTTACAGCGTTGAATTTTTATGCCCGAGGTAGTTACCAATGATTCGTATATCAAAACATGGATGGGCCTATGGCCCAACAAACAGTTTCACGGTGTTAGGAGGTTAGGACTGTCCTCAATTCACCAGATAGGTGTTATAAGAAAATATATAATTCCCTCAAAACCAAAATGAAAATAATCTCATAAAGAGACAGCAAGTACCTAATAGTTTATTGTTTATTTTGGCTTTATGTATGAATTGTGAATAAATACCTATAGAATTATGTCATTAATATTACAGATTTTACGAGGCATATAGGTTATGCCATTATACCTGAAAAATATGACTGATAAAAAGTAAATTTATTACTAAAAACCTTTTTTTGTGCCGAAAAACTAAATATTAGTTTCATATTTACTTATAAAGTTTTTTACTGAACTGTCAAGATAAATTTCGGAACTCACAATAATTAAATAAAATTTTAATAAACACTGAACAGTTTGGTGAAAACTTGTAAAACTTTTGGCGGGATGAGAATCGTTTGTATTATACGGATATTTAAGATTGCCATACGTTGATTATAGCCATCGTATAAATGAAAGGTTGTTTTTAAATATGTCGGTTATTACTGTGGATAAAAGAGTTCTTTATAGTGTCTTGATCAGTTGTAATGAAAAATAAAATTCATTAATATATTTATTTATTTAATCTTTATTGCCATATTACTGCAAACGGCGGACTTAATGCTATAGGCATTCTCTACCAGTCAACCGGAGAGGATAAGCAGAAAATTTGTAAGGCAGTGACAATGATAGAGAATTCTGAATATAATTAACAATCATACACATATTTAGACACATATACTTACATATATATATTAAGACAATACCCTACATACAAACACATAAATACATATATACATAAATAAATATATACATATACAGTAAAACAAACATCGACATGTCAGATTGAGAAGTCAAGAAAAGTTGTTATCTTTTAGATAGTGTTCACGCGCTTTTCTCTTGAAAACTAATCTATTCGGAGCATTTCGTACGTCTAGAGGTAGTGCATTCCACAGCCGTATAGCAGTAAGAGAAAAAGATTTGGAAACAAATATAGAATGATGAGAAGGAGTCTGGAGTACCAGATTAGAACTGGAGCGAAGTTGTTTTTGATGAGAGGCACCTAAGTACTGAAACCTAGATTTCAGATATTCAGGCGCACGTGGATCGTATAGAATTGCAAAGAGGGTGTTTACGATTCTTAATTTTCTACGTTCGCGTATTGGCAACCATTTAAGGTGGTTACGAAAATCAGAGATGTGGTCGTATTTACGTAGACCGAAAACGAAGCGGATAGTGTTATTAAGAAGACGATCCAACTTATCGAGAAATATTTGATTAATGTTAGAGAGACAAACATCTGCATAATCAAAAAGGGGATGAACAAGTGCCTGCACGAGGGCAGTCTTGGTACTGGACGGGAGAAAATTCTTAAGTCGGTATAATGCGCCAAGAGTCCCATGAATACGGCGAGAGACATTCGCCATATGGCCTTCCCAGGAGAGGGTACGGTCCAAGACAAGCCCCAGGCTTCTTACAGTGGAAGTGTAGGGGATCACCACACCATTATATGATACAGACGGAACAGCGCTCAGATTCAACCGGGAAATTAGACTGGGGCTTCCTATGATGATGGCCTGACATTTGTTAGGGTTAACTGTTATGCCAAAGCTCTGTGACCATTCCCATATTCGCTTGAGGTTTTGATTCAGCTGTATAATAGCTCTATCCAAGTAATCAATCTTGTCTTGTGCGTACAGCTGCAGGTCGTCAGCATACAGATGATAAGAGGTCGAAAGAATAGGTGTAAGTGAGTTAATAAATATAGAGAAAAGGAGTGGAGAGAGAACGCCGCCTTGTGGTACACCAGCAAACAGGTCAGTCCAGTCGGAAATCGATTGATTGACCCTTACGGCTTGCCGGCGCCCGCGAAGATAGGAAGAGAACCAGGCAAGTACAGGGGATGAGCACCCTAGCTGGGAGAGAAGAGCAAGTAGGATATCATAGTCAACCGTATTAAATGCGTTAGAAAAGTCCAGTAGTACTAAAACAGTAAGACAAGAATCCTCCATGCCATCCCGTATATCCTCTACAATTTTTAAAAGCGCAGTAGTAGTACTATGTCCAGGCCGGAATCCCGATTGAAAAGGAGAAAGCAATTGGTTGCCGAAAAGGAATGAAGAAAATTGCTGATGAACAACAGCCTCAAGTACCTTGGAAAGGAAAGGTAAAATAGAAATTGGTCGAAAATGCTGCAAGGAACTGGGGTTGGGAACTTTGGGTAGAGGGATAGTGAACGCGCTAAGCCAAACGTCAGGAAATGAACCGGAAGATAAAGAAAAATTTAGTATAAAAGTAAGTACCGGAAGTAAAGGATCTAATAATAAAGTGATCATGTTTCTACTAACATTATCGTACCCAGTACGCCTTGGACTTAATGGAAAGAGCTATCTTTCGAATATCTGCTTCTGATACAGGATCGAAGGAGAAAAGACTGCCAGAGGACACAGCCGTGGAAGTGAGTCTAGAAATAGTAAGAAATTTGATATTGTCAGAAAGATTTTTAGTAGAAGAGAAATGGCGATTGAGATCATCAAGACCGAGAGAAAATGAATGTTGGGCTCGCACCTTACCGAACCCTAGAGTATTAAGAAACTTCCACATTTCGGCTGGAGTTGAATTAATCACATTCTGATTGATGTAACGGCGCTTAGCTTCTCTTATCATCTGGTTGCATCTGTTCCTGGCATGTTTGTAGGTTTCCCAGTTAGAGTCAGTACGACACCTTCTGTATACACGAAATGCTTTGTTTCGTCTTTTCATAGAGACACGTACAAGAGGAGTTATCCACGGTGCGGGTGGTCGTCTTAATTTAACATACTTAACGGGTGCATGTACATCATATAATTTCAAAATGATTGTGTTGAACTTTACTACCATATCTGTTACCGAGCATGCATTGTAAACGGGAGATCAGTCCAGAGTAGTCGCATCCTGATACAGTTTCTCCACATCCAGTCTTGAAAAATTTCGAATGCGTACGATTTGTGGCTTAGGTTTAGGTGGTTTAGTTTTATAGGCTAAAAAAATTAAATCATGTTTGGAGAAGCCAGGTGCTGGCAACTGACCGTGTTTGAGGACATGATCAGGAGAAGATGTGATAATTTGATCGATCCATGAGTCATCTGTAGTGAGATTGTGATGCGTGGGACTCAAAGGTAAAATTGAGAAATTTACAGACTCAATAATCGATCGATAATTACGTGAGGAGTGGGTATCTTTTAAAAGATCTGTATTAAAGTCGCCCATGATTATGTGATGTCTGTAATCTGTAGCGACTGACTCAAGAAGAGATTCCAAGTCGGAGAAATAGGGTATAGATGGAGGACAGTAAATGACACCTAGAAGCACTTTAACACCTTTGACGACGATTTCAAGAACTAAATACTCCATACAGCCGTTTCGAGATGAAGATGAAGCAACAACTTTATAAGGAATCGTATTAGTTAGGTAAATGGCCACCCCGCCACCACCCTTGCCTAGACGGTCATTGCGGATGAGTACAAAACCAGGGAGTTCAAAGGCTGCTGAATTCAATCCGGGCTTGAGCCAACTTTCAGAAACCAGAATTGCCTGCGCAGCATTAGTGGAAAATGTACTCAGAAGATCTATGTAGTGAGACGGTATACTTTGTGCGTTGATGTGGCAGACACTCAGATATTCCGAAAAAGAGCCTAATTCTTGCTTAAGATGAGTGCCCAAATCATCATCATCCAATGAGGAAGCGTCTAAAGAATGGTAAGACGAGTTTGAATCATCTGCAGAACTGTATGCGCTGAGATCCGACATATTATAATATAATAATAATAAAATATAAGCGATAATAATAATATAAAACACAGAATATATATATAAATATAGCTAAAATTAATCAGCAAAAGTTAAAAAAAAATAAAAAAAATTAAGCAAAAAACTTTTTCGAATTTTATGCCTGCACTCCTTGCCGGTTCAAAGGTTTACATTTAAACCGCTGATTTAATAATAATGACAAAAACAAATAACAATAGCAAATAACAAGAAATCATAAGTTACACAAAACAAAATTAAATCATGGCTGCAAGAACATAGATTCATTTGCTTTAATATTAGTAACAAACAACATCGTCAAAAATAATGAAAATGACTTTGACATGTGAAAGTAAACAAAAAAAAAACGAGAGAACGAATTGAGAAAAACAAAACGTTACTTAAACAAAGTTAATATTTTGAAGTTTAGAGTACTTGTAAAAATTTAATTGAGAGGTTACCTTACATAATGTGACGTAGTGCAAGTGAACAAAGCAGGTAGTAACAATAAGGAAAGTGCTTGCGAGCAACAACAAACCGTACGCTAGAATCAATACACACGGAGCATTTTATGCGAGTTGATGTTGAGTTGGATGCAATAGAGTATAGACAGTAACACTTCAGAACGTTATACATACATGTTATTTAGCAGACTTAGTGGGCCTTTTGAGTCTAGTTGATGCTGTCCTAGACGTCAACGTAGCGGATTCAACAGCAGCGACGACACCCTCTGCTTCTCCTGCCGATGTCGCACTGGGGAACTGCTTCATTACTGCAGATAATTCTTCGCTGCACCCGATCTTAACTCGATTCCCATTTGGTGTTTTAACAAAGACGTTACCATCGCTTGTCCACGCATTTGCAATACCACAATGATCGCGGGCAGCATAGAACAAGGCCTGTCTTGTCTTGGTGAGGAACTCCCTTACCACCAAGGAGGTGCCTTTAAGTTTTGTCTTGCATTTCCAAGCTAAAGAACGCAAATCATAATTGACAAAACGAATAACGACAGGCCTATTGCGTCCTTTAGTGAAAGAACCGAGACGGTAGCAAGATCTTATTGATGAAGACTGAAAATCCTTAATTTCCATGTGTCTTTGTAAGAGTGTTGCTACTGTAACACATAAATCTTCATCCGGCTTCTCTGGAACACCACAGAGCAATAGAAATTTACTCCGGTACCTCGCTTCATGATAGTCCAAAGACTTCAATATTTCGCCTATCTGCTGCCTCAGCAGAGTGAGTACATTCCAGACTAGATCTTTGAAGGATTTGAAGTCCTCATGCAGCTGTGGTATCCTGATATCCTTTTCAGATGAGGACAACTTAAGCTGGGCCTCAAAATCTTTCATCCTTTTCTCCAGGGCAGATTCTAAACTCTTCTGTGTCTCAAGTATGGCTGCTATGCTGGTCATAGTGTAAGTGAAGTGCAAATCTTCTATAAATAAATCAACTCCAAATTATCTTGATGTATAGTGATGGCAGGTTAGTGCAGGTCAATCTTCTATATACTCATTTGTTCCTTAATCCCACAATTTATAGGAAAGTACAAGATTTACTGAATTATTTAAGATAATATTTAATGAAATAACTTGTATATAATAAATTTTAAAAATATTTAAATGCAGAGCAGTTATGTAGGTTATTTTCGCCTACCGCCGAAAAAAAAGTTTTTCGTTATATTATTATAAGTTTTTCGTTATATTATTATAATATTTTATGTTTAAACAATGTTTAGCCACCAAAATTTTATTTAAAAGAAATATATGTATTGTTTAATATTATATATTTCAAGTTACGGTAAAAACCGGAATATGACATTATAAGAAATCCAATAACGCCATTCACTCCAATCGATCACGAAAATTGTCTTTGGAATCGAACATTCTTTGGTATATACGAAAATGATAAAGAGTAGCGTTACATGTGAAATTTCGTTTTAATTTCGTTCGTAAACGAAATTTCGTTTTCGAGAGTAGGCCTCCAGAAGTGTTACCTATTCATTAATATCAGTTTTATGTGCGGAAATTTGCGGTTTCATTGGAATATTTCTTTTTTAAGGAAATGGTACTGCTTTCAAAAATTTGGGATTATTTGAATTATTAATAAAAAATCCTCCTTTGAAGCCGATGTCACAGAAAAGCAAAATCTTATTATTTAACTATATTTTAAACCAATAGAGTTTAAAATATAGTCTTAAAATAGAGTTTTAAATATTTTAAACCGTTTAAAATATAGGTACATAATAAATGACAAAATTGAACATACATATGTAACCAAAAAATTGTTCAAAATGCAATTCATAATTTTTGTACAATTACTTCGAGATTGTGGCTGAAATCTGCTCGAAATTTTAAAAAAATCTAAATAAACATATTGTATGGCTAAAGGAAATTATTATAACCACTGTAGGCGCAACTTCTAGTACTTCAATTGCTTCTGCAGGACCGAGGTGTCCGCAAATAAACTTTCCTGACTAAGCGGATAAAATCAAACGTAGAAAGTTGAATAACGAGGTGCAGTTAAAAAGCAAAGAAGGGTTATGCTTAGCTGCTTCAATGAAACTAGACTCTGAAAGACACAGAAGTGCAGCATTACTCTTACTTGACCTTTATGTGTCACCAGAAAAACTTAGTACTGTAAAAAAAACTATTACTCAATTTATTTATCGAAATGAAATTAACCCGACATCATTATGAATTATTAAGAGAATCAGCTAAATAATGAAAATTTAAAGAATTTATTTCAGCCATATTATAAACTTATTGAGGAGAAAATGTTATCCAGAAAACGTTAAAGTTACAGAGACTTCAGCGGAAATCCCCCTACAAAGTCTCGTTGAATATTCTGCATCGCGTATTTTACACCATCAAAGTGAAGCTTTAAATAATGAAGACACTAATTTAGAAGAATTTATAAGAGGGATGCTGATGGCTGCGGTAGCCAAAAAAATTATAAACAAAAATTTTAAACTGCGGATTCGGATGACTCTCAAATATTTATGAGTTCTTTAGTTCCTATTCGTGTATAGTCAGTCAACAATCGAGATAAGTTATACTGGCAAAATTCGCGAACGAATTCTGTTCGATTTTGTAAACCAATTCGAATGCGATTTGTTAAAGAGACTGATCGCATAATTAAAGATGAATTTGCGTATGTCAAAAATCAAATTGCAAATATTTCAGCCGTCTCCGTTAACATCAATGGAAAAATATTTACAGCTCAACATTCGCTATTAAAAATTATGGTACACGCAAAGGTTTGCAAAATTTTGTCTAACAATAAAGCTACTACAAAATGTTACATCTGTAAAGCTTCATCTGCTCAGTTTAACAATATTGAAGAATCAGCATCACATCAATACAATAAATAATAAACAAGCTCGTGGCGAATTGTAGCAGAAAGAAAAGCACAGATTCAAACTAAATTTAAAGAACAATGTGGTTTGCTAGTTGATGTTCCCACGCTTGGATTCGGTAATATGAATGATGGCAATACTGCTAGGCACTTCTTTGCTAGTCCGGATATATCGTCAAATATTACTGGAATTAATAGAGTATTTATAGAGAGGTATCATCTTAAAAACTCTAAAATGTGGGTAACAGATAAATAGCGTCAAATTTGGAGAATATGCTAAAGAAACTGCTATGAAATATGTCGAACTTTATAATTGGTATCCCATGACACCAACCGTTCATAAAGTTTTAGTACAAGAGAAAGTCATCATCGACAATTTAATACTATCGATCGGCATATTCGGAGAAGACACTCAAGAAAGTCGCCATAAAAACGTTTCCTTCTATAGAGAACACAACACTAGAAAAATGAGCAGAAAATAAATTAATGACGATCTTATAAAAATACTCCTTTTATCTTCGGATCCCATCATGTCCAATAGGAGACCTAAAACTGTAAATAATAAGAGCGCCGTACCAGCTGAAGTTTTAAATTTATTTCAGGAACCAGTAATTGAATGTACAATAAAAGTATTTGACGTTTAAACATTATATTCCACATAATTTAATTTTGTACCCTTAAGGGTTAAATATCAGAAAAATATGTTTTTTTATTAATAGTTACCCTAACCAATTGTCAGAATTCCAACCATTGGTCAAAAAATTTAACCATCACTGGAAGCTAGGTTAAGCTAATGACCAATGGTTAAAAGAACAGATGTACAACTGCGTTTTATTTACTTGGTCCCTTGTTATTATTTTTACGTTGTTTTTATAACCTACATGATTCCTTAGTGAATTTGGATATTAGTTATTTTTGAGATTTCATTTTCTGATGCAGTTTCATAGGAAAATATTCATTGTAAGTTGTAGGGTTATTGCAAATAATTTATATGTTTATCTTGATCATTCTTAGTTTATTTGTACTATATAAAATAATTTGTTTTGTTGTTTCCACGGGCATCCAATTATTCAATTATTAAAAATCTTATGAAATCCACGAATGGACAATACAGAAGGTAAATATGCCTTCAGTATTATAAAATATATATTCCTCGAATTCCAACATTACAATCCCACTTTGGATACTAGATTCTATAGTATCTTCACGTATTTCTCTATAAGATAATTAAAAAAAAAAAAAACAAATATATGCTTTTTATAAAAAAGTTAAGTTTAAAATAACTGGAAAAAATATCTTTGTTGCTTTCTAACATTATTAAAGAAATTGCCTTCAAAAATATTTCCTGAAAAATAACACATAATGCACACAACAGAACAACCATAAACATCCGCACTGTTTGGTAATTTATAAATTTCTTTTGTCTGTTTGATATTTGGAAATAAAATCCTAATGTCAAAAATGGTATATAGTTCGCTACGTTCATTCAAAAATTACCCATGTCGATGTTTAGCAAAAGAACGACTCATTGCGATGGCAACAAATTGACCAGTGGTTCAATTTGGCTATGGTTTCATTTGGCATCAAAAAACGAAATAGCGGGTTAACAACTTGTTAATGTTTTAATTATAGTCAAGTAAACAAATGTTGAAATGACATTTGACTACGGATCAAAAAACTGGCCTTAAATTATTAAAATTGACCACAGTGGCCGTAAATTTACGAACCGACGGCGTAGCTCTCAACTTTCGCAAGTGCTTGTAACAGCTTATTGATTCGATTTAATTTGAATGATGTTTCAGGCACCTGTAGCATAGTAGTCGTTGACGTTGATAATCATATAAATTTACGATTAGATTGGATGGATAATACAAAATTATATTGGTGGTAAGGTTACTATCGCAAATGGTGACGCGTTTAATAGATGTTTTTATTTTTACTGATTTACAGACCGAAAAGGTGATTTCTAATGTTGTTTATATACCGAAGTTTACATCTGTTCAAAAAGGTCGAGAGAGGTATAACAGTTGTTTTTAATAGACAGAGTTCTAAATTTTATATAATGTACATTGTTACCCCACAACAATCAGCGTTTAATGTGCAATCTGATACTTCCTAGTAAAAACTATGACATAGACGTTCAGGTCACTTGTTTCGTATAGGAATGCGTAAGCTTGCTGACGGTCTTGCTACTGGTATCGTTTTTGAAGATGTGATTAATAACGAAGAAATACATTCTATATAATACAATGATCAATACCAAATTAATAGTCTAGCTTTACCTATGTTTAGGGTTTTACCTATTAGCAATTACAAGTATACAATTTATGCAAATGTTCGGCGACTGGCAATTCAATTTAACTATAGAGGTTACAAAAATATTAATCTCTTATAAAAGTCGTGCAAGTTCTTTTGATATAATTATTAATTCCATAACAAGTTTTGCTTTGATTTACAGAGAAAAATGTTTTTTTTTCAACTTGTCCTTTCCTGTTTGCTAGGAACTCGGAAAAATATTTCTTCTTAAAGTAACGGGACATCGACTATCAGCCCGCTGCACAAATGTCCATTGATATTTACATTCATTAGAGCTTAAAGGCATTATTAAACCTTAATGGATGTTTGTGCAACTGACTTTTAGTCATTTAAAATTTTATACAAATAGGTTATATCTATAATACCTCTTTGGTGTATTAAGGATGTTTTATTATGAAAAACTAGAGAGATCTCATTATCTAAGTGCGGATTACCAGTTGTGTAATTCAACGATTTAATGAACTTGCGCTGTACCTTTTCAATTTTGTCTTGATGTATAATTAACAACTTATACGAAAATGCAGGAGTGCAAACCTGCTAAAACTTCATTGGAACAAAACATTATACATAGATAGTGAAGAAATGTGTGATAAAAATGAGTATCTATCCTTGATTCTTTAGTGTTTATTACTTTAATCTCGAGGCCTGATATTGCGTATACTGTTACTAATTTAAGCCAATTTAACTCTAAATCTGGAAAGACACATTGGTTAGCGGCTAAAAATGTTCTTAAATATTTGCA